CCCCCCCCCCGCGGGTTCAACTCCCCCCTGGGACGCTTCCGGTACGTGCTATAGTGCTATGTTTAGGTGGCAGGTGAAGTAGGCCACTGTTTGAGTTTGGAAGGGGGGGGCATGAAACATGAAATTTACGCGAGGGTTCAAGGCTTCAATGATGAGCATCACGGGAAGTCAGAAACCAGGCGTATCAGATACACGTGCCTTTGAGCTTCCTTCGACATCTCAGTGCATATGGCTGACACTTCACTCGACAAAGATGCTCAAACAAACATACATAAACCAGGTGTATCTGATACGCCTGGTTTGTGACTTCCCGTGATGCTCATGATGCTGCGTTGCTTTTCTTCAGTCCCTCATTACATATACATGACGATCCAACAGCAGATTCAACAAGCTCACATGTTCATGACATCGACATCGATAGAAGAAACCAAACAAATCATGCAAGCAGCTTTGTTTTGCCTCTGGGACACCTCTTGGGCACCTCTTATGGCATCCACACTGGTTCAACTCCTCCGTGGAGGGTTTGGGATACGGATGGATACGGTGCAACAGATTCAACAAGCTCACAGGTTCGTGAACACATCGGATGCATCGAACAGTGTGGCAAAGTCCAGCCACGCTTCCTTAATTATCGGGGACTTCAATTCTAAGGTTGGCTGTGTCATTGCTGTTTGTGCGTCTTACATGCTCACAACGTTTTACCTCATGAGCATTTGCCTCACTCCGCTTGATGTCCCACCAGTCCGGATGCACCCCTGCTAGCTTTCGTCACCTACCCTCGGCCTCAAGTATTTTGCTATTGGGGTCTCCAGCTGGGCTAATTCTGAATAATATATATATATATAAGATATCATTTGGAATATTAATCTTATTGCAGGTATGCTATACCCCCCCTTCAGCTGCTCGTGGAATATTTTTCTGATGGTGAGAGATGTTGACATTGATTGAATCATGGGCAATCACCAAATATAATATACCCAGGAACATTCATTATGAAAGCACCATGAAACATGAGATATGATGTATTTCTGGGCGTTTGACATTTGATTCGACACTCTGTGAGACATTTGGAAGGCGAAACTGAATGGGACTGCTCGCATTCGATGTTTTGTGAGACTCGTTTCACTGGCCGGCGCCGGAGAAATTGTTTGTTTGACGTCCAAGCACTTTGGATGATTAACTATGCTTACTATTCCAGGACGTTCCGACCTCTCAGAATAATTTTTCACTACCACCTATAAGGAATATTTTAAGCAATATTCCTGCGGGTATCCACGGTATAGGGGTATCTAACCCCATCCTCCGTATGAGCGCACTCTGACGCAGACAGATGCGCAGCTTTTGGTTGTTTCTAGTTTTTATTTTTAATATACTACACATTAATTAAGTAATATAACGAATTAAAAATATGTGGCAATGTAGCTTGTCTATCCAGTCTAAAGCCAACTATTATATTCCAAATTAATCAGTTAGTTATAGCAGATTTTCTTAGGAAAACCACGGATCTGCACTGCCACAGGTGCACAAGGAACCAAGGTGGGCCGGTTGCGATTGGTTGGGATTGGGAGCTGGGGGAAGCAGATTGATATTTTGTGCCACGATGCCAAAGATGGCGCCATGTTTAAGTTGTCATGAAATTGGTTGTTGCTACCAGACGCGTGGTCTGTTGCCATGCCGGATGGGGGATGTTTTTTTCTCCGTGAACCCTCCAGGGTCGATCGTGACCTGATCCCACGTGCCAGGGGCCACCGAACTCATGCAACGCCTCCGCCACCCAAGAAGGAGAGGTTGGCTTTGCGAAGTTCTTTGCCTTGACGTAGTGGCGATGACAGATACCCATCTCTTGATCATGGTGTCCAATCATTTGGGATGAAACATGTGGGAAAAAAACAAAGACACCAGTTGGAACCAATTGGTTGGTCATGGCGTATCGGAACCATTCTTTTGACCCAGGAAACATACTGGCACATCTTGCAACATGAAACATGAATACATTGTTAAGTTAACACAATTTGTTTTCAAACTCCAGGAAACGTAACTATATAACTTTCTGTATTTTGAATCAACCTTTGGAAACCTTGTCGTTTCTTCAGAAACCACCGAAACAGGAGGAGCCTGCGGCCCCTGCGCCTTTGAGCCAAAACCCAGAGGTGGGAGCATGCACCATTTCTTTCGGCATTTCGGACGCTGTTCGACTGATTTCTGAATAATTGCATGTGAAACACTTCTGAGTCCTTAGATTCATCCGACTTTTGAGTTGCAGAGAAGCATTTGTGTAGAATTGTAGCTTGATGGTCAAGGCCTGAGATCACAGTTGGATCATGTTGGATCTGACCCTACAACGAATTACAACGATCACTCGATCTCCACCGGGTCCGAGCTGTCGCCCAGGTGCAAATCATCTTGATGGAGTTGAATGGGCAGTGCAGCTGGCATGTCCACAGATTTCTTCGCCAAACATCCGCCCCAACCGCCAACTCATCCGCTGGCCAGTGCGCACAGTCCACTCCTTTTGACCACAGACCCCGCTCCAAACGGGGTTTCATTCTTGGCCGAACGCAGGCTGGAAGGGACAAGAAAAGAGGACATTGCCTCCAGAAAGAAGACCTTCAAGTCCCGAGCCTAGTGGCTTCTTGTGGCGATGGGCAGAAGGCCCCACGACTTGCGATCCAAGCCGCCCCTCACAGCCCTTCCACTTGTGGGGTACTGGCGGGAAAGACAGAAGGCCCCAGAAAAACCCTGACATACTTTTGCGTTTTTCCTGTCGTATTTTCAATGGCAAGCAGAGCTTTTGGTGGTCGATGTGCTTGCACTTTATAAAGCTCCCAGCGAGGTTCAGTTGCCTCAAGTGGCATCCTGACAAGAACGCGGACAACCTTGAGGTCGCCACAGAGGCGGACGCGGCGGACGGGCTCATTTAAATCTCAAATATTTCGGTGGCCAGCCCTCCTTTTCTTTGAAGTTGGTCCTCTCATTCTGTGTCATTTCTGAGAACAGGCCGCCTTCTCGTTTTGGAGGGAACTCATTTTGGTCGACAAATGATGGCATCTCGTGAACTCATTCAGCATGAAAACAACTTGCTAGGAAATTCACCGAACCTTTTTGTTAGACGAGCTCATGAGCTCATGCACAAGCCTGCATGTAATTCCCGGCCAATTGATTGCACATGCCTTATAGCAGCTAGCAATGTTTCGTGCGTGCGGGTGCACGAGCAGCTGTACCGACTCCACCATGTTACCATGTGTGTGTGTTTTTCTTCGCACCGAGAGCGAGTTGTGTTTCACCATGCAAACAAGCTTTACAGTAAACATATGGCAAAGGGGTTTATCTCAGAACCTCATAAACCAAGCAACACATTGCAAAATATTGATGACAAACCATCCATTCGAGACAGACCCAGGTACACTTTGGGTAGACTGGGTTGCTGTCAGCACCTTTGTTGGTTCGACGGGCTCTGGTCTGTCAGCCCCGGTCTGGGTTTGCGCTAGGCTTTCAACCATTACCAATGCAAGGAATGCCACCAATCCTTCCCTCCAACTATGGCTGAAAATCCGTTGCACCAAGTTCCCAAGACCTCCCTCAGACATGGAAGACTCAAACTTGTGAGTCCCTGCATCCATAGATCGCTCTGCTTATTTGCTGCAGATATGAATGGTGTGTGTGTGTGTATATCAGCCGAACATTGGAGCTGCAAAGAACACCCCTGCCCACCCAGCCTCGGGCGATGAACCCGTGACCGTTGTTCCAAGGTGCTTTCAAGTCTATGAATGAACATTCGGACTTCCATGGACTTCCAACAAGCAAAACATGTGTGAAAGTTAATCCAGGCACAGACAGCCCAGTTTGACCTCACTTGGCGGTCGTCCGGTGTCGGATCATTCTTGGGGGATGTCGGACAGGTCTTTCAGTGGCTTCAGTCCCAGAGGGATTGGTATCTCAAAGAGTGAGCGGGAGAGGCCGCGAGGTCCTCCGGGGGGGCCGCGAATTTGACGCCACCTGGGAGTTTTTTTTTGTTTCTCAGCGTTTTTCAGCATTTCTCAGCAAGGTGTGTGAAGTCCACGGTGAACACATTTGATGTGGAAGACCAGGCAACGTGATCTGGTGCACCCAAATGTGGTAAGATACCGAACTAGAGGTACATCAGCACATGCAAGCTTTGGCGCTGCAGGGTCAGGAATTGGAAAGACAGATGTAGAGTTTTGGAGGAAGCCATGCCAGATGTGGAAATCAGTAGTTGAGCCTTCTAAGACTATTGGAGGGACTCATGGTTCCAGGTGCCTTTTGGTCAAGACTGTCAGAGAAGCTCTCCCCAAATGGGGATTCGTCAGAGTGGGAAAGCAACGGTGCATCAGAAGATATGCAACAATTTGCAAGGTCTGCAGTGTGTTCTGACATTGGCACGGCTCAGGCCTGAAGAATCCCTTCTTCTTCCCCATGGCTCAGACCCGACCTTCCCTATGACCTGGGAAGTCACCACGACGCTCCAAAAATGTCCAGAACAATCATCGAAGATCAAAGTTCCTAGACCTGCTGGGGAGTTTGTAAAGTATATACCACACATCATCATCGCATACATATATGTAATACATATCTATATCCCATTTAACATATATATATATATATATGTGCACAGTATATACATACACGCAATATATGTATATACAGTATATACATACCAGTATATACATACATACATACATACATACATACATACATACATACATA